GTTTCCGTTCATTTGGCTTCCTCCACTACACAGTGTTAAGCTTGCTGCCTTTCTTTCCTCAGGCTTGTGCTCCTCCAGTTGAATTTGGGGAGCAGGTTGGGAGGTACCTTAGGGTGGAGAGCTCCATTCTATCACTTGGGCTGAACTATTGCCTCTTTTCTATCCTTTCCTCCCCCATGCTTGATGTCATTGGTCCTACTTCTCAGTAACACTCTGCATATCCTACCTAGGGCCTGGGTCTTTTGTGAGAGCTGTTTTCCTTGGATTTTATCTCCTAGACTAGTGGGAATCACCAGGCCTGCCCATAAAGAACAGAGGGCTGGGACCTACCCACCAGAGATTTTTGTCTGGGGAGGAGGAGTTTTGAATTTCTAGCAAGACCAGCTGCTGCTGCTGCTGATAATCAGGAGCCCTACTTTTAATTTTTTTTAATTGATTTTATTTTTTAAATACATGACAGTGGAATACATTACAATTCTTATTACACATACATACCACAATTTTTCATATCTCTGTATATAAAATATGTTCACACAAATTCATGTCTTCATACATGTACTTTGAATAATGATGTGCATCAAATTCCACCATCATTGCTAACCCCCTGCCCCTTCTCTTCCCTCCCACCCCTCTGCCCTATCTAGAGTTTGTCTATTCCTCCCATGCTCCCCCTCCCTACCCCACTATGAGTCAGTCACCTTATATCAGAGAAAACATTCAGCATTTGTCTTTTTGGGATTGGCTAACTTCACATAGCCAGAGCTAATGACTTAGCCAATGAGAACAAAGAGGAGAAAGAAGCAAACAATTAGTTGTTGTCTCACTATCTGAACCTATTGGTTTTTGCTCCAATATGCTGGTTCCAGGATTTTTACTTATTTGGATGTTACCCTGTCATCTCTGGTGAGATGTGGATGGATCAGGCTGGTCCTCTTGCTGTTATTATGCTGTTTGTAATTGTAACTGGGTGGATCCAGGAACAGGTGAGCTAAGACAGAAGCCACAGGAAGGACATTCTCTCCACTCTAGTCCCAGGGTCATGGCTTTGGACCCTCTCTTACTCTAAGCAAACCTCCTCCCCTTCCCTCATTACCTCCATCTGACTTGGATGTAACCCACTTGTATTTTCTCAGAGTGTTAGAGAGCTTTTTTACAGTTTTATTCTCTAAAATTGACCAGTCTCCCTCTCATTTGTACAGATCATTTGTCAAACACAGGGACAGAGTCAGCATCTCCTGGCAGTTTGTCATTTTGTCAGGAACCCTAAATTTTTACATTTATTTTTTTAAACATAGCTCAGTTAGTTTTCCAATTTTTTATTGTCTACCTAGCACCTGTCATTGCACCTTGTGATTTCTAATTATGATGCATAATGAGCATAATGGTTGTAGAATATGAGAATATATCACTTGGATAAACTATAATTCATTTAATTATGCCCTTCCACTGGATATTTGAGATTCTTTCCATTGTCTCAACAGTATTGATAGGATTATGTGGGTTAGTGCTTCATAGCTGTAAAAATATTGATTCTTCCTTTATCACCACAGTCCCTTGTCCCCCAGGATTCTGAAAGAGTTAAGGCATCTTTCAGAAGTGCTTTAAGTTCTGGGAGAATCTGGTTCTTTGCTTCTGATTCATTTTCTGTGTGGGTGGTGTACTGCTCTAACCTTGTCACTGACAGAAAAGTTCAAATTTCATTCTCATCCTGTAAAGAGAAAAGAAGTCTGTCCTTGCAGCTTTCTCTTCTGACTGAAGCATTTGCCTTTAGACAATGATCTTGTACACTTTTCCATCAACATACTGGTACTTGCTAGTGTCAGTTCTCCTTTGGATTGGAATTGCAATTTCTTTTGTTCATCTAGGCTATTTTAAACGATGGCAGATTTTATTTAAAAGGCACAGGTTGTGCTACGGATCCATTCTCTCCAGATCTGGTCATGATTGTCATACCATCCAAGGAAGCTAAAGCAATCAAATGGAAGAAAAACATTTCTTTTCAAACTTATTTCAGCCCAAAACCAATGCTCAGATAATGTGATTTTAGTTTTTACATAAACCCACAGCAATTTGGTAAGCAGTAACTGAAAATAGGTTAATGAATCATCATGGGAGGAAACTTGAGAATGTTTGCTTTAGCTGATGGAGGGCTCCAACTTCTGCAGGCCATCCGCACCAGCAAGGTTGGAGACAGGAGAGGAAGGTGTACATTCCAGTTTACTTTTCTGATTCCAGTTTGTCTTTGTGGATTTCGTGGTTTCAGCCTGTAATTGCTCTCCTCACTTTGTGTCCAACTATGCTTTCCAACCGCTCACCTGCCCAGCCACAGAGAGACTCTGGAACCAACACTAGTTACATAGAGGCAAGTACCCTACATGGACTTCCTCATCAAATCCCACAGTTACATAAAGGCTAGCTCATACAATGAATCTCTGTGCATTATTAAAAAAATATTCAAAAACTTAAAAAAAATTGAAATGGATGTTAACAGTCATTTAAGCCAATTTCCAACCCACAAGTCAATCTCAACTGTGTTGTGCAATGGTTGATCACTTTTGACTGGGCCCCTTCCATGGCCAGAAGATCCTTACCTCATCAGAGAGCTCATTTGTTCTCAGAGGGTTATAATGAAGAGTTCTCTTTTTATTTTTTATTGAAGTGATACCTGTCCTTATTGGATTCCTTTTGGAATCAAGCAGAAAAAGATATATTTCTCCTTTGCATAGCCCTTCAAATATTTGAAGACCTGTAGCTCATTTCCTATTAGTCTTTTCTCTCATCTTTAAGATAAATATCTTGAGCATGTAGGCTTATGTTTTGTTTTTGTTTCTTCTTTTCCTCTCTGTACCCATCTCTCTTTTTCTCTCTTCCTCTAAGATGATGAATCTTACCTCTAATTCATGCAGGATTCCCCTGTGATATACCAAGAAGTGCATATTATTTCTAACAGTGTTGTCCTAGAACATAGTGATTGAAAGATGGCATCTTCATTATGAGAGTTATATTTAAATTGGTCATTTGATGAGGTATTTTTAAAATAAGGCTCCTTGCTTTCAATAGGAATATAGTTTATAATAGATAAAATGATGATCATTTACAAGTGAGCCCTAATTTTTACTTGCAGCTTGACTTTCATTGCTGAAAATGAAAAAAAAAAAAACCCAGAAAATTTTCAGTAGGCTATAGTTAGAAAAATAGGAAGTGTTGTGTGTTTAGGAAATTTGCAAAGAATATCAGACTAAAAAGAATATTTATATATACTCTCCTAACTCCACAAGTGACTGATCACTCCAAATTCATGCCAGCTTTCTGGGGGTCATTTGTAGTGTGAAAGATTATTTGAGATGAGATGTGATTCTTTAAAAAAAATTTTGTTTTCTTTATTTCTTTTCCTTTTCTAGTTCCTACTCTATATAGATAAATATTTTGATAATTTTAAATATTTTGACTGGATTTAATCAATTTGTCTATTTCAAAAAACAAGTCAGTTAACATGGTGACATTTATGATTCAAGGTATCTACAAGAGTCAATGAAACCATTCCTTAAAGATAAGAAAATAAAAATTTGTGCCATACTTACCAGTTTTTGTTTTTTATATGAGTTTTAGGTTTTAAAATAATTAGATTTACATAAAAATGTATTTTATACATATATATATATATAAGCATACATATTTATACATATGTATTACATATATTTGTGGGTTTTTTGTTCGCTTTGTTTTATTTTTTCCCTCCATAGAGGAAAAACCATCTTGGCTTTGTGGTAATTAATCCTTTTTTCCCTCCCTGGTTTTACTACCTGTGCATTCATAAATAATACATTACTTTTTTTTTTTTTTGCCTATTTTGAGTGTTAGTATAAATACTATTGTTTTTCTTATGTTTTGCTAAGACTTGCTGTTTTTGTTCAACATTATGTTTGTGTGATACATCCACATGAATGTGTGCAGTGTGATTCATTTATTTTTAATGCTGTGTGGATATATTATAATTTATTCATTCAACTGTTGATATACAATTGAGTTATTTCCAGTTTTTGCTTTTTCAATTGTTTTGTTTTTATCCATTAAAGACATTGTTGCTAGGAATATTCTTCATGTGTCAAATGGTACACAGGTGCAAGAAATTTCTACTGCATAAATCTAAAACTGGAGGTGCTGCATTGTAAAGTATGTGAATGTTCAATAATAGTATAATGAGTTAGGCCAAAACATTTTTAAAGCAACTATGTCAACAGTATATAAAAGTTTCTCTTACTCCATATCCTTATAATTACCTGGTTTTGTCATACTTTAAGCATTTTTGTCATCTAGAGGATATGTCCTGTGTTTCCTTGTGATTTTAATTTGCAAATCTATGATTAGTGAGATTGAACATTTTTAAATTTTAATGGCCATTTGGTTATCCCTTTTATTGAAATGTCTGACTAGATTATCTTTTTCATTATGATTCATAGACTTAAAATAATATTCTTGATATTAGTAATTTATTATTAAGAATGTTACAAGTATCCTTTGTTAATAGAATTTTTATACTACATCTATTTTTAAATTGGAGTTCTTGGCTTTAATGCAATGGAATCTATAAATCTTTTTTCCTTTTGGTTATTGCATTCTGAATATTGAGTCCTATTTAAAATTTTCTTCTTTACTCTGAAGGCATGAAAATATCTTTTCTATTGTACTCTAAAATATTTATTGCTTTGCCTTCAATTGTTATATTTTTAAAGTTAGCAAAGATATACATATGTTATATATGAACAAATTAAAATAAAAATTTTTATTTCTTGTCCTAAAAACAGGACACTTGGTATTTATGGAAAAAACTCCTCTGTTTAGTCTTTGTAAACCAATTTTATGATTATAACCTATTTCTGTGTTGTTTTTTGTAAACTTATTTCTCTGAGTAATTTTTTTAAAAAGTTCTTTGTATTATTTTAACTGCTTAGAAACTAAAACAAATATTTGATTTTTCTATCGTTTGTTATATTTCACAGGACCAAATAATTTCTGGAGTTCTAGGAAATGGTATCTCAAAATTGTACAGAATACCTTCTTCCCTGAAGATCCCAGAACATTAAGACATCACTCTATCAGGTATACACAAACACTTTCTAAACTTATAATTTCAGCCAGAATATCTGACAATGAGGTGTCATTGGAAGGGTACATATCATAATTTTAATATTTCTCTTCAGGTCATGATAAATAATCTTCCCTTAGTATAAAAGTGTAGGATTACCTTTTCAATTCATGAAATAATCCTTCATTAGAGTTTAGTATGATCCCTTATGTTTTAGTGTCAGGTCTAAGAGAACTTTGCCTAACCCATTGTCACAAATATTGTCTCTTAGGTTTTCTTCATAGAATTTTTATAATTTCAGCTCTTAAATTCGGTCTGTAATTCATTTTGTATTTATTGTTGTGAATGTGTAATTTCATTCTTTTGCATGTGGATATCTGGTTCTTTTAGCACAATTTATTAAAAACACTGTTTTTTCTCCATTGGATTATTTTGGCAAATCAATTAACTATAGGTTTACTTAATATTTTTCTTGACTTCATGTTTGGATTTTCATAGTTAATATATAGAATTACAATTGATTTTGTATTCTGAATTGATTTTGTATTTTGAATGCTTGCCCAACTCTTTTATCATTTCTAATAATTTTTATAGGTTCTTGGGATCTAATATACATGGATGATTTTATTCATTTTATTCAATATGGATGCCTTTTATTTATGTTTTTCTTGCCCTAGTGTCCTGGCTAGAACTTCCAGAAAAATTTTCAGTAGAAGTTGCAAAAGTAGACATTCTTGTCTTGTCCCTCCTCTTAGAGGGAAATCCTTCACTGTTCATTATGATGTTACCTAATTTTTTTTGAGATGCTACATATCAGATTGAGAAAATGTCCTTCATTTCTTGCTCTGCTAAGTGTTTTCGTCATAAAAGTATGTTAAAAATTGCCAACTCCCTTTCTTGCACTATTGAGAAGAGAATGCATTTCCCTCCTTTATTATATCGAAATGGTGTGTTATGTTAGCTGATTTTCAGATGTTCAAGAAACTTTGCATTCTTAGAAAATTCTCTCTAGTTGTCATACATAATTCTTTCAAAAACTGCTAGATTCAGTTTGCTAGTATTTTGTTGAGGAGTTTAGCATCTCATATTATCCAGAGATATTGTCTGTAGTTTTCTTGTGAAGTATTCCTCTGGTCTTAGTATCAGGATAATGCCAACCTCCTAGAATGAGTTGGGGAGTGTTGATACATCCATATTTTGGAAAACCTGTGGATGATTCATATTGATTCTTCTTTAAATGTTTAATAGAATTAACCAGTGGAGTATCTGAGACTGTACTATTCTTTATGGAAAGTATTAAAATTATTAATTCAATATCTTTATCTACTGTAGATCTAGTCAAACTTTTGATTATTTATTAAGTCAATTTTACTAGTTTATGTCTTTCTAGGAAATTTCCATTTCATCTAAATTATTTGTCAGCAGATTAACTCTTATGGGATGTATTCTTCATAATATTTTGAAATTAAATGAGGGACAAAGTTTTGGTAAAAAATACAAAATCCAGCCCAAAAGATTATATAAAACTCTTATAATTCCACCATGGCTGGGCAAGGGGTTACCTTTTTCTTTAGGAAGCACAATTTCGATGCAGATGACCAGTAGGCAGGAAGAAATGCTTATATTTAGTCTGTCTCTGCTCAGGAGCTTGTTGTTTTATTTCTGAGGCTTATGTTTTAGGATTTCCTTATTCTCACAATTGTGTAAGCCTCTAAAGAATCAGTTTTTATGACTAGGTTTAGTTGGATAAAGACAGGAAACAGTTATAGTGTTGTCTTTATGGAGCAAGGCATCTTTTTTAGCTCATTTTAATTTATGTTATTTTTCTTTTCTTTCCTTTTAAAAAAATTTTTTTTTTTTTTGGTGCCAGAGACTGAATCCAGGATTACTCAACCACCGAGCCACATCCTCAGTTCTCACTAAATTGCTTAGGGCCTCACTCAGTTGCCAAGGCTGGCTTTCAACTTGTGATCCTCTTGCCTAAGTCTTCCAAGCATCCGGGATTATACGTGTGTACCACTGTGCCCAGGAATTTATTATATTTTTAATTGACACATAAAGTGGAAATTCATCAGCATTTTTGTGAATAGTACATATAGCTCTTTGAGTTACAAAAGTGAGTTTTACCCAGGATTGGTCTCCTTAAATGGCTTGGGAATATGGAGTCTCTTCCTCCTGATCAATTTCATTGCCAGGGTGTGAGAGCAGGTGATACTTATTATGTATTTTAATCCCATCTTAGTTGTGTTTGTTCACTTGGGGGAGGGCTCTAATACTTTGAAGGCTAGCCTTGGAAATTAAGAATTAAGTCTGACATAACATTTAGAGGAGGAGTTGTCATGGTTATAGTTCATTCTATACTGTCTACTGACTCTGAGGTAAATATTGGTGTCCTGCAAACAGCTACTTTGTTCTTTAAATTTTCCCTTTAGAGAGTGCTCAGCAGACCAGCATCACTGGCATTCCATGGACTCAGAAATAAAAATCTCAGACTCCATCCCAAACTCCCTTAATACAAATTTTCATTTTAAGAAGTTCCGGTGATTTCTAAGCCCATTGAAATCCAGTTCTTTGTATAATGGGATCTTTATATATACTCTTACAATCTCTTCTCTAGACTTAAGCTATAAAGGGCTAACCTTGAGTACACTGTTTTTTGTTATGGTTCAGGAATAGTAATCAATGCACTGAGAAGCAGCTGCAAAATATATTTGAGACTGAAAGTACTGTGGGTACTGCAACTAGCTAGTCCTTTCAAGGGTAAGAACACTTAGGGAAGATCTTGCACTGGGAGAATGGAGGACCCATTTGAATTTATGGGAAATTCTCATCCTTCAGGGTTTCATCCTTAGTGACAGGGACCATTACAGGGAATTCCTGTTTTTTCTCATTTTAGTCACAAGGCAAGAGTTAGCTCTAATTCTCAAGGAAATGCAAAATATGTATATTTCTTGCACAGCAAGATGGTTTTAATTTTCTCGTTTCTGTGATTTACTTTTCTAATTTATCTCAGTTTCTGCTCTTTCTAATTCCTCCTATGTCTCTATTGTCTGAATCATATTCTAGTCCTGAATTACCAGGCTTCCTCAGCAGCCCTAGTCAGCCTTCTAGGGCACAATGAATGCAGCCGATGCCAATTATGCAGAGTCAGTCCAGGTGCCTAGATAAAGTAATAGAGGCTTTGAGAGTGGGATTCAAAGCTGGGGAGCCAGAGGCTGAGCAGCAACAAACTCTGGGGCAGCTTATTGGTGAGTTTAAAGGTGGGGTATAAAGAATCTTCTTTGGATTCATTTCAATAAAGGGGTTTAATTTTATTCCTTTTATAATCAAGATTCTGGGCTTTCAGAGGCTTTGTCAGGGAACATCAAGCTTCAGAGAGTTGCTTGTGATTGTTCTGTGGCTTCACGAGGAACAACTGTTCAGAGTTGCCTTGTATCAGCAAGGCGGCTGGAAGTTTATCCTAATGCCTGCAAAAGAGGAAAGAGGTCCTGGATGTTAGATCCACTGGAAGTTAGTGGAACTAATCATTAGTATTCGAGTGAAATGGGGAAGGGTGCCAGGTCATATTTATGTCTGTTCAGAGAGAATCGGCCATTCTCAGTAATTGCTCAGTTTGGAAATATTTGTGAATAAATTATATTTTAACTTCATAGATTTATGCCTCAATGTGTAGAATACTAGATATTTCATATGCCATGTAGACTAGGAGATCATCGAGTGCAGAGACCCAAATTCATGGTTTTTTGTTGTTTGAGAAGTTAGTAGAGAAATAATAAATATTCATAAATATCTTTTGATTTTTCTTTTTAAACTAAGCAATTAAATTCAAGCTAAGCAATTTTCTACTTCCTCTGGACATGTTCAATGGAGGATGATATCCCAAATTAAATGAGAAGTAAGATTATATTTAGAAAACTTTTCTTCATTTTGTCATTTATGAGTGAATTATTTTATCTAAGGCTTCTTTGTGGTTCTCACAGACTTAATGTCTTGAAGGCATCTTCGAACTGGTTTTCTTTATAGCATATTTGTGTCCATGCATTTGCTGTAACCTGAGTGTATTTATATTCATGTTTCATCCCAGTTCAGGTTTATGAGATTACAAAGTTGTTGTAATATCCGATCCCTGGATTAGAGATGGCGATGGGGATGGGGTGAGGGAGGGAGGCCCCATGCTTCTTACCGACCCAGTTTGAACCTGGGTGCATCCATGCCTTTGATCTTGGCAAACAGGTTTTACACAGCTGCCTAGAAAGGGCTGCAGAAGAACATAGTCACCTGGAGTCAATAGTGTGGTTAGAGAAGCAGGGAAGGGAGAAGAGTCTCAGAAATGATTCAGTCACTTCTTATTCCTCTCTGGCTTTCAGATGGAATCCATCTCTCCTCAAATATTGTAATAGATTTGGGGGTTTAAATTTTTTGAGGGGTACCAGGGGGGTACTCAACCACACCCTAGCCCTATTTTGTATTTTATTTAGAGACAGGGTCTCACTGAGTTGCTTAGTGCCTTGCCTTTGCCAAGGCTGGCTTTGAACTCATGATCCTCCTGTCTCAGCCTCCAGAGCTGATGGGATTACAAGCATGCACCACCCTGTCCAGCTCAATGTTTTTTCTCTATTTTGTAACGTCTAGCATCAGACTCTTAGGCTTGAAAGGAAACTAAATTGTCTTTTAGAAAAATTGTGTGCTTGTGTGTGGTTTTAATCTATCCTAGGTCTATCTTCTGCAGATATCTATTTGATAGCTTTTCCTTTTCCTCAGAACTGACAAACTCCAGAGAAAAACATTTATTTACCATCCAGGGAAGTCCTCTGTGTATTTTTGGAGCTTTCAAAGGCTTTCCACTGTTGGTTCAATTTCTGTGTTCTGGATGCTTTCCTTGTTCTCAGGCCCCAATTCTTTTCTCTTATTCTTCCACATCTCTCTTTCTTCTCAAGTTTGCATATCTAGTCACAGATCACAGGTACTCTCTACTGCCCTAGCTCTATTAATACTATATAGGTACTGCATATATTCAAGGGTCTTGTTTATTTGACATTCAAGATTATGTATTCTAGTTCTTGAATCAAAACTTTATAATATATGCCTAGTTACAATTTTTCCTTTCATGTCAATGATATAGACTTATAAATTATAATAGCCAAGAAGTTGTATTAGAAAGACTGCACTATAAAGGACCTTCCAGAAAAAAGCAGCTGTTATCCCAGCAATGTCTTTTAATTATTTTTATTAGTTGCTCAAGACAATACAATGATCTTGACATATCATACATTTGATTCAAATAGGGTATGAATTCTCATTTCTCCACGTGTACAGATTGCAGAATCACATTGGTTATATAGCCATGTATATACATACAGCAATACTAGTGTCAGCTGTATTCTGCTGCCCTCCTTATCCACTCCTCCCCTCCCTTCCCCTCCCATCACTTCTCTCTACCCAATCTACTGTGATACTTTTCTCTCTCTCTTTTTTCCCTTCCCCCTCACACCATCTTATAGGTATTTTAATTTTTTATGTTATTGTTATTTTTTGAATATATGATTTTTCAGTGGATATATTGTTTTTATTCTATTCTTTTTCAAGTAATTGTTATTTCTATAAGTTTATGTAATTATTACACTTATGGATTTAATGATTTTTTTATTATATATACAGGCATAAGATCAATTAATTCATCATAAGATAGGTTAATTTCCATTTCCTTACTTTTTTTTTGTTCTTCCTTTCTTTTATTAGAAATACGTTTGGAATGGACCTCTTATTCATGTAGGTTTGGTTTTATTAAGTGTATTTCCTTAGAAATCATTCCTGTGAATAGGGTTGCTGGGTCAGAGAACATAAATGTCTTTTTAAATGAAAGAAAAAATGTTAAACTTTTAATGCTGCCAACTGTGCAAGTTTATGAAAGTTTTACAAAGGCTTTGAGCATTGGCTATTCTAATTTAAAGATATTTTAATACTTTGATGATTAAATTGTTACTTCAAGGTTGGTTTGACTTGTTTTTTGTGTCTATTTTTTTGTTTGTTTTGTTTTTTTTGAGCTGGGTATTAAACTCAGGGTCTACTGCTTGCTAAGCATATGTTCTACCACTGAATTACCCATAATCCCACTAATTTGCTTTTCTTTTAATATGTGCTTACTCGTTGTGTTTTCTTTTGTATGGATTCTACTTACATTATAAAGTGTGTACTTCTCTTTTCCATCCATCCTGAAAGTTAAAGCAAATTCCACTTAGGAGGAAGGGATTTTATAAATATAAATAAATTACCCAATACCAAATTTGGTACTGGGTATTGAATCCAGGGATGTTTAACCACTTAGTCACATACCCAGAACCCACCCCCACCTTTTTAAAAATTATTTTAGAGTCTTACTAAGTTGCTTAGGGCCTTGCTAAGTTGCTGAGGCTGGTCTTGAACTTGCTATGCTCCTGCCCCAGGCTCCCAAACTGCTGGGATTACAGGGATGCAGCCCCATGCCCAGCTGGGATTTTATGTATTTTTTTGCATTAAAACATTATTTTGATATATTAACTATATTCTAGATTAAATTTTTAAGGAACTCATACCCTTGATTACATTTAAATTTTGTTTTGAGAGTTTATTTTTCATTTGTATCAGTCAGTAGAAATGGCATAAAATTTTATTTCACTTTTAGATAAGTATCTTAAGTAGCACAATGGAGGTCTTTTGGACCATGGAATTGAAAACTATATCTAAGGAACTGGACATTTGGAATACCTTTTATCAAATTCCTATTATTTAGTGGGCATCTACTTGAACCATGCATTTTTAGAAACTTTGACACAATTGTGACCTGGCTCAGACCATGCCAGGAAGAAACTTTGCCTTCTGGTCTGGGAGAAAGAATAATGGGTAATTATAATAAGTACACTATCATAAGAGAAACAAAATGAAGAGAAATTTCCAAGGTGTTGTCTCAGAATACCAAAGGAGGCCAAATGAAGTGTGAAGGGAGGCATTTATTCTAACTTGGGGAATTAAAATTGGCTTCCTAGAAGAAATTAGGCTTAAATAGAGATCTGAAGGATGATCAGAGTTTTCCTGCTGCATCTAAAAGATAGGCATATGTATATGCACTCTGTTGTCCTCTTTGTTATTATTTTTGGTCTTTGTGGGTGAGCACTAATAGGGAGTTTTTGTCTTTTCTCAGAAGGCATACATCAGCATCATTGGAAGAGTCCAGCCCCATGGAGAGAAGCCAGACAGAAGCCCCGAAGGCCAAACTCCTCTACCAGGAGGTGTGCTTGGCAGCTCAGCAACTTGACCTTTTCCTTCAAAAGAGAAATGCCCACAAAGAGGTATTCAAACCGCACATCCTGGCCCTCAGAGATATAGTTCAGCAAGCTTGCATTAAACTCATGTTCTTATACCCAGTGGCTTATGGGAGGAAGGCAGAAGAGCTGTTATGGAGGAAAATGTACTCTGATGTTGTCATGCTGCTAATGAAGGACAACAGAAAACACACGCACACTTTTAAACACTGGGAAGGCCCCTTGCAAGCTCACCTGAAAGGTGGCCTTAAATTCTATGAGCATCTCTTCCTGTTCCTCCAGGGTCACTATGAACTGAGGTTACAGAGTTGTATAGATTGGCCTCACAGTGCAATCCACTTGATTGGCTGTAAGAAGGTAGGGCCCACATCAGAGGAAGAGGTCACCTGGGCTCGAATGGCCTGCCATCGCTGCCTGCTCTATTTGGGAGACTTGTTCCGATATCAGAATGAGTTCCTAGACCTGGCCACTAAGGACTTGGCAGAGAGATGCTATTACAGAGCCCTGTCAGTGGCCCCGCGTATGGGAATGCCCTTCAACCAGCTGGGAGCTCTCATGGGGAGCAAGTACTATAATGTTGAAGCCACATACTTCTATCAGTGCTGTCTCCACTCAGAAGTACCTTTTAAAGGGGCAGCTTGGAACCTCAAACAGCTCTATGATCATGCAGGGAAGAGGTACAGCAGTCTGAAGAGGTACCAGGGAAAGAAACTATCTCGAAGCCAGAGGCAGTGTTGGGATAACAAGAGGCTGCTGGTTAGCTTCCTCTATCTTCAGAGCCTCCTGCAGCCTCAGAAGAAATTCAGAGTGGCCAGGTTGATAGCCCTGTGCCAGCTGGTTCTGGAAGACTTTCGTCTCTGTCTGTCTTATCGGCTGAGTCCACCTAACCCGTGCCAAGTTTCCACACAGGGAAAGCCCCCCAAAGGCTATCTGTTTCTCCCAGACCTCCTCATCTTCCAAATGGTGGTACTTTGCCTCATGAATGTGCATGGTCTGAGGAAAACAGGCTCAAAGCAGCATAAGCCAGCTGTCATCTTCACCCTGACCCTCTTCTCTCATCTAATTCAACATGTGAATGCACGGATCCAAGCTGAACTCCAGAAAGGGAAGCTGACTCTAGACCTGGCTGCCCCCAGGGCTGGAAACCAGGAAAAAGAGCCTGGGAAGGGTCAACAAGACTTTCCAACCCTGAGGCCCCACCACAGAAGATCCCAGAAAAGCCATCCGTGGTCCTGTGTTTGTAGTGAGGGTTACAGCTCCGAGGCTGGTTTTCATTCCTGCTGTGACTCTGATGAGACAGAAGATGAGGAAAGCACCTCCTTGAGTTCACAGGTCCACTCTGAAACAGACAGTGAAACTTCTCATTCGGATATAGCTGATGAAGGAGGGAGTGGATCCCTGCACTCAGAAGCAGTGCAGGAAAGCGAGACCATATCCAAATACAAGACTGCCAGTCCCAGGGATGAAATTCCCAGTAGTCTCCTCTGTCTCTTGAAAACAACTATGCCTGCTAAGCTGCCAGCTCCATTGAGCCAAAAGCTGCCAGGAGGACCTGGCTTGCACCTGGCCCCTGCCTTTAGTCGCAGTGCCCTGAAGCTTCAGTCTGAGCTAAGCCCTGCCTCTGGCAGTAGCTCTGGCTTTGAGGAGGATATAAGCAGCTTTCCTGAGACTGAGTGGCACACTGGTTCGTATGTGGGGCAGAGTGCCTCCCTTGACCAGTCTTACACAAGTCTCCAGACCATTCAAAGGAAATTTAAGGTTCTCTCTGCAGAGGGACTGCTTCCCACCATCAAGGTGATCCTGGGCTGGCTCTGCACCAACCATGCCCTCCTCACCTCCCATTGGCGGAGTTCTCTTAGCCTGTGGGACCACCTGTGTGTGCTGCTGAACCTGCTGCCCTCGGTGGGTGACCTTCAGCAACCAGACCTGGGCCTGTCCCACCATCTCCATGATTTGCTGCAGAGCCGTACAGGCCCACACACCTCCAGATTCCTGCATCTCCCTGAGGACATTGCCCTGTTCCAGCTCTGTCCAATGCAGGCTTCCCTGGAGACAGTGGGATTAGAGAAGGACCCACCTCCACTCAGTAACCAGGATGAAGCTGCCCTGCGCATCTGTTTCCTGAGAAGTTTTGGCCACTTTGCAACCAAACTCCCAGAACAGTTCCTGAGGTTCGACTCTAAGTTGGGTGTGTTTGTGAGCAGTACACCTGGAGGACTAGAAAATCCATCTCGGCAGCTTCCTGAGAGAACTTCCAGGATCAGGTTTTCCAAAGACATAGTCCAGCTCTGGCTTCAGCGTGAAGTGGTGTTGCTAGAGAAGACCCTCAGGGGTCCCCAGACTCGGTCAGCTTTGACCTCTTACCTATTTCCTGATCCGAGGGCCCTGTGTGGGCATCTTCCAGTTATCCAGCAGCTTGCCACAAGTGGTAAGTTTTTCCTCATCATACCAAAACTTGTGGTTGACACACTGTATGTCCTGAGAAGGGAAGATCGAAAGGTCTTGGCAGCCATCACCTTCCTAGAAGGTGAACTGAAGAGAGGGAACCAGAACATTCTGTGCCAGTCCTTTGTGTCTGAGAGGTTGTTGAGGCCCAGGATGATCAGGCCAGATTCTGATGCCTGGGACCTCTTTAATATTCTCGACTTCTGCAAAAGTCTGCTGGATTCATCCAGGCCAGGGACACCTGATCCTAGCAGCATGGTGACTATCATCACTGGCATCTGTTTGGACAACCCGAGGAATTTCTCGTACCCCCTGCAGCTGGTGCTGGGGACAGCAACCGAAGCAGGTGTGGAAATCAAGAACATCCTGCACTTCCACAGAGAGTGGAAGGCAATCAGCTGACATGGCCATCTCTCTCTCCTTCCTCCTCCTTCAGCATTTATGGATCATAATTCCATGTGTTTCTCTCCTGTAAGCACCTAATGTTAAGGTAGATATTGTGTGAGTGGATATCTGTGTCTACCCCTAGGTAAAGGTTTAGTTTACCAGCTTCCAGAGGCCTTCTTATTTCTGTTTTTTATCATCTGGGCTTGATACCATGTTCTCTTTCTGAAAATCTCAAGATTGCCTCAGCTCTTAGTGTTCTTAGGGTAAAGCAACAGCTTCAGGACTTACTCCCAAGAGCACACTTAGCTCTGTGAACGTTCTAATTTGCTTAGCTTTGTATTGTGACTTGGAACTTTTAATGTTGTTTTTATGATGGAACTGTGCCTTCGATTGTAGGTAGGCCTCTGTCATCTCTGAAAACTCAATAAATATAAAACTAAAATTCATGACTGTGGTGAAGGATTTTATTGCAGTTTCTGGTCATGGCTTCCTTATTCTATGCTTGGTTTAGATTTTTCACTTTTGGGTAGAACTGGGTCAGTTGTCCATATTGCTATAGTAATGATTTTTGCTTTTATGTTCCTCTGAACATAATAGGAAGACCTTCAAGGACTGGCAGATTCAGTTCTACTTTTGTAAGCTGGGAATAGATATTTCACAGCACTACATTGGCATTTATTCCTGTATCCGCCCAAAATTTTCAACTTTGGTTACCATGAAATTTGTCTCTCTCTCTCTCTCTCTTTTTTTTTGTTTTTCCTTCCTGGCTCTCAGATATCTTTTGATACATCTCTTCAACTTCCTACTTGGTACATATTACAAGGAAAAACTTCCTACAATTAGCGAAATGTGGATGTATATCCTGTCAATAATACATGAAATTAAAACCCACAACTTGGGCTGGGGATGTGGCTCAAGTGGTAACGTGCTTGCCTAGCATGCGTGGGGCGCTGCATTCGATCCTCAGTACCATATAAAATAAAATAAAGATGTTGGTCCACCGAAAACTGAAAAATAAATATTTTTAAAAAATTCTCTCTCTTCTCTCTCTATTAAAAAAAAAAAACAACAACCCACAACTTGATTCTCACAGAAATGTGTTGAAAGGATTAAAATCAACGTCTTCCCCCCTAATAATCTCCAGTGTTCTTCACTGATAATCATCACATTTTAAGGCCAAACAATACTCTGTCAGGATCCCAGGTTTTTGAGGCCCTCTCAGCATTGCTGGCTTCTCACTTACAGCCTCAATCCAGCTGCTGCCCTCATGTGCCGAGAAATCCCATGCTTAGCTCTTTGTGCACTCCTGGGTTCTCATGTTTTTTCTCAGTTGTTCTAAACTGAGCCTCTGTGTTTCAGTTAAAATTCCTGTCACTTTCCTGTCTCAATTTTTCTCTCCTCCTTCCAGCATTTTATTATATATTTTAGAAAATTTTGACAAACTAAAAATTTAAAAGCCCAAATTTTGTTTCACTCCTGACATTACAGCTTTTGTTGTTTTATTTATACCCTGTCATGTTTCTGCTGCATACATGTTTTTTTTCTATTTGTAATTATATTCAATAAACATCTTCTGAGCCTACTTTTATTTAAGTTACAAAAACTTCTAATATTGTTGCGTGATCTTCCTTGCTTCCTTTAATTGTTGCTTCCTATCATTGTTTACTTAAGTATTCATTTTTCTTTTAAATATTTTAGTATTAGATTATTAATAATCATGGGATAAAATTTTTTGTATCTGAATTAATTCCTTGAAATAGACCATCAGCAATTGATTTATTGAGTGGGAGATTATTAGTGTTGTATACAGAAAACAATAATAATTCATCACTATGGAAGAGTCCCCCTTTCAAAAAACTTGGTTGACAGGTTCTGTATTGCATTTGGAAACTTCATCTAAATAATAAGAACAGGGTGAAGCCACCACAAACTAGGACAGGGCTTTCTGTCAATATTGTAGATATTGTAGTTGTGTCTCATAGTGGGGTTGGGTTCCTTCAAGCACATTCTGTCCCTTGCTGCTAGAACTGGTCATTTCAAAAGCCCCTGGTGGCTGCAACACTGAAGCAGAACATGCCCTCAGAGATCAGCAATGTGTGGCAGCAGCTAAACCATCCAGAGTTTGGCTAATTTAAAAAAAAAAATCATTTTTACATGCAGGGAACATGGCCCCCGTTGTGTCCTGTAATATTCCTTGCTTTCTCTTAGGTATTTTAAAGTTATAGTTACTTAGCTGACCCTCAGTAGACACCCCCATTCTGAGCTCTGAAAAACAGTGAAGAGCATTGACTGATGTTTATGCTCTAGGTGTCTATTGTATGGCTCGCTCATTACTGGTTGCCATAAAAAGAATCTGGCTAAACCCATGGAAAAGCCATGAGGCAAAGAGAAAGTGAGTATATTATTAAATGACTGGACCTCATTTTGCTTACTTAGAAGATGAGCACATTGAAGTCAATCCCTGCTGGTGGAATGAGCCAGGCAAAGTCCTTTAATGAATATCTTAGATTACTTATTGTTTCTTCTTATTCTAAAAGTATTTTTTCATCTAATAATACTGCCTTTTGGCCTAGGCCTGTGGAATTGGGGACACGTTTATCTCAATCTATGTCTCCTCTTAGCTTTCTCTCCTCTTCATTATTGAGGAATGATATACTTGACAGAAAGAATTTTTAAACAATATAATGCCTACATTTTAGGATAGGGATGGAGACTCTGCTGAGGAAAATAATTCTAAGAAGCTTGTGCACTGTCATGGGACTTTCTGAAGAAGTGGCACTATATGTTCAATACACAAGAGTTTGTCACCAGTTGAAGCTACTGCTTAGATGGCTTTAGTGGGAAGGGAAACTTCTATGAGCCAACTGGCTTCTAACTTTCTTTTCACCCTAGAAACTATGGAAGAAGGCAAAATCAGTGCAAAACCTGCAACTAATAAGTGATTTACCTGATATTTTATTACAGATATATCTGACTGACAATCTATCCCAAGTAGATCTGGCTTGATTATAAACACCCAGAAATGTAAGATATGTAGTAAGTCGGCAGGAAAAGGGAGTCTCCGTGAAGGTCAGCAAGAATCTAGAGGATGGTGGGCCACCTGGATAACCTCCCTCTTACCCCAGCATAGTGTCATGGTGATTTACAAATTTTCACCTTTATCCAGATGTTGCAGGGAAGAGAAAGTGGGCTAGGGGAGCAACACCCCAAACTACAAGTTTTAGCTTTGTATTGAGAGGATATTCACCCAAGAAGAAACTGCTTCCAATGGGAAGACACCGAGTTACCTTTACTAAAATTGTCCACATTGGCTGAAATAGTTTGAAGGTAAGCTATGACCAGACAATAACTACAGCTGGATATCTCTTTCATACATATGAGGTACAGGGTGTAAAATTTAGTTTCCCTATAAATGTGTGCTATATGTGCTTTTTAGGCAGCCACAAGCTATATTTATTGAGGTTGAATAATATAGTTTGACTATAATAATTTTCCTGTAAATGTAAGACTCATATTTCACCTGCCTTTTTATATCTCTGCTGGATTTTTCCATATATCTGAAATTCAACACATCTAGAAGTGAAGTCATTATTTTTAAACTAGACATTTTCCTTGTGGTCTTTAAGTTGAGAAGTGGCATTTAGGTAAGTTTAAAACAGTGGTTCCATTTCTATCTAATAACTCTCCTTCAATGAAAACAAATGATAAATAAACACACATGCCAAAAGAAAAGAAAATAAACCATATACATGTATATATTCTTTTTAAGAAATAGACTTATGGTTGACAAATCTGAATCTGCAGGCAGGGGGCAGGATGAAAGCCTTAGGTGGGAGATGATGCTGCAGACCCGGGTGGAATCTCTTTCATCAGCGACACCAACTTTGGTCTTTATGATCTTTCACTGATTTAATGAGGCCTACTTCATTACTGAGATAGTCTTTACTTAAAGTTGGCTCACTGTAAATATTATAGCTACAAAATACCTTCATAGCAACACTAGATCAATGTTCAGTTCAATAACCGGGTACTTAACCTAATCAAATTGATCCATAAAACCAAGCACTACACATCTACAATTTCTCAACATTTTTTGAGTGATCAGTAAACATCCATAACAATGTATGGAGTTTATAATCAGTTTCAGATACTGTGTTTGCTGCTGTGGATCCATGAAAGGTAAGACATTTTCTGTCCTCAAAGAGATCAAAGTTCCTAAATAGAAATTGATACATTATCAAATACATCCCAGTCACTGAAGTATGAACAAGATGTCATGGGTTGGAGGGGCGATAGTGAGAACGCCATAGAGGGTTTTCAAAAAAATATTCTTAAGTGTTTCTGGGTCTAGTGTTTCAATCCATCATCCCTACTGTAGTCTACGTCCTTGTCAACAGAAATTGACAAATTGCTGTCTCTGTTTAACTGATCCTGCCACCTGCATCTGTAGTCCTGTTCCACCTCCACCTGGCCACCTGCGTTTTTGTGCTCTTATGTGCCTCATCACATCTGTCTCTTCATTAAAATGTGCTCATTGCAGGTAAAGTCCAAATGCCTTAGTATGCTGTGAAATATTCAGGATTAGATGTGCTCAGTATATTCATTCTAACTTCATTCAGCAGCATGTCCTCTCCTTCATACACTCTGTTCTCCAGCACACCAAGCAACGCTTTTATCTACTCATATCCAAATATTTTTGCACATCATTCCCTTCATCTGGAATGCCTCTTTTTCCATGTCATCTAGCATGATTTTATTTATTTTTCTAGACTCATTCCAAATATCTAAATATCTCCTCTAGGGTAATTAATATATATATATATATATATATATATATATATATATATATATATTTAAGTTGTAGATAGACATAACTTTAATTAATTAATTAATTAATTAATTAATTTTTAGTAGTGCTGAGGATTGAACCCATTACCTCATGCATGCTAGGCAAGCACTCTACCACTGAGCCATAGCCCCAGCCCCTCCTCTCAGGTAATTTTTGAGGGTGGCTCATTCTTCTCCCTTCTGTCCTTTCATTGTATATATTACTGTATTGAAATTATTTGTCTTTCTTACTAAACCACAGGCTCCATAGTAGAAAGAACTCTATTCTTATATTTGGCACCATTCTCTCTCTTATGCCTGCCCGAAACTTAACTCGTCACATTTTTATATTTTTCAATAAAAAATTGCACTTTTTCCTTAATTGGGGTCTTAATGTTTCTATAAGTTCTTTTAAATAACATTGAAAATAAAGCCTAATAATGTTTAGAAGCATTCCTGACAATTGGGTATTATTTCTTGCTTTTGAGGTCAAGGCTGCACTCAAACTTGGAAGATCTAAATTTGAGTCCTTTATCATTTTCTCTGTAATCTTTTTTTGGTGGGGAGGTACCAGGGGTTCAACCCAAGGTGCTTAACCACTGAGCCACATCTCCAGTACTTTATATTTTGAGATGGGTCCTGGCTAAGTTGCTGAGACTGGTCTCAAACTTGCAATCCTCTTTCAGCATCCTGAGTCACTGGGA